ATCACAACACATTTGGCAGATTTTATTTCAATATTCACGCATATTGCACTTGCCTTAATTAAATGTGATTATATTTCCAATTGTGGAAAAAAAATTTGTGGACATTATCTATTATGTGAGCTAGAAAAGATTTTATTTAATTATGATTTCAAGAATCCTTTTCCTAAAAGAAGATTATGATTTTGATGATGTTTTTATGTAAGTCGATTTGATGCTGATTTTTTTTTTATTAACTGTGGTTACTGATGTAGGTTGTTTATTGTGTTTGCTGATCCTTATTGAACTTACTGATGCTATTTCTTTCATGTGCAGTGAATCAATCAATCATTAGTTGGTTTGTAATTTGACTTTATATTGATTGATTGAGATCTGAACAAACCCTCTTATGCTTTTGATTATTAATCGCTTGGTAGTGATTTGGTTTAGTTACTCACGGGGAGTATACTAATTGAGGGGGAGTTATTCAATTTAGTTGTTCTTTACTTAATGCAAAACTATTTTTGATTGATGATACTGATTGTGTTTTGCTTAAGATTGTGCTTTGTTCATAAGTTTGACAAAGGGGGAGATTGTAAGTATTTTGGTTTTGTCAACTTATTCATTCGGATTGGTGCACAATCTATTTAGTTTCACTTTAAAGGTGTTCATGCATATCGTACCTGCCTTAATTAAAAGTGATTGTATTTCCAGTTGTGGAAAACTTTTTTGTGGACATTATATATTATGTGAGCTGGAAAAGATTTTATTTATTTATGATTTCAAGAATCTTTTTCCTAAAAGAAGATTACAATTTTAAGAATTCTTTTCTTATAAGGAGGTTATATATTAAAGAATTCTTTCCTATAAAGGAGTCTAGGATCTTAAGAATCCTTTCCAAAATAGGTTTGGTTTCTTGTTTATCATTTCAAAGTTACTCAAGTATAAATAATCCTTTTATTATTATGATTTTTTTTAAGGTAGCCATATCATTTACCTCCATTATTTTCTAAATATTTTCTTTGAGGTTGTTTAGTTTTTGTAGGTTTCCGATATGCTTTGGTAGGCTTTGAATTACCATGTTTTATCTCTTACTACATGAGCTGATTCTGGAACATTGTTCCATGTTAAGATCTGGATGTGTTTGAGCTGCTGCTGCTGAAATAATTCGTCATTGTTGAAACTTGGGAGGAGCTCAAGTGCGACCTAGTGGTCCCGTAGAGGAGAAGCTAGACTATGAAGAGTTGAGGTTCCACCAAAGAGCGAAGATTGAAGTGTTGTCCAAACATGGAGTTTTTACAACTGATACTTATTCTTGTCTTTGTAATTGAACACATAATTATTTCATAGTGGATTAGCTTCTTCTGGACTTGGTCCCATGGATGTAGGCATGTTGCCGAACCATGTAAAATTTAGTTGTGTGCTTTATTTTATGCCGTGGATGGTTTATATGTTTAATCATTAGTTTAGCAACTCATTAAGCACAACATGAACAAGTAATCTTAATTCCGCATAAGTTTTAATCAACATGATAAGGGTTTAAAACTTTCAATATCCATTAAAAAACCAGAAGATTTTTCAATCTAATGAATTCTCTTGTGCTGCTGGTTCTCAAGGTAAATTAATTAGTAGACCATCACCAACTAAAATTGGGGTTGAATCACCTACATTTTTAGAATGAATTCAAGGTAATATATTTGGGCCTATTCATCCACCATGTGGACCATTTAGATGTTTTATGGTCTTAGTAGATGCATCTACAAGATGGTCCCATGTGTGTTTATTATCTACTCACAACCTGGCGTTTGCAAGATTACTTGCCCAAATAATTCGATTGCGAGCACAATTTCCAGATTATACAATTAAGACAATACGTCTTGATAATGCTAGTGAATTTATGTCTCAAGCTTTTAATGATTATTGTATGTCAATCGAAATAATAGTTGAAAAGCATGTTGCCCATGTTCATACACAGAATGGTCTAACGGAGTCATTTATTAAACACCTCCAATTGATTGCTAGACCATTACTGTAAACCCCACCAATACGTTCAAGGGTAAAATAGTCTTTTCCTTTTTATGTGTTAAGTTAACTACCATGCACATGCCTTAGGGGTAAAGGGGTAAAAGAATGATGAAATTTTGTTGGCTTGACAAAAGGATTAAGGAGTAATTAAAAGACAATTATTAAGGGCAAAAAGGGAAATATTGTTATAGCACATTAAATGCAAAAGACAAATGTCAAATGAATAATTCTTTTGCAAAAAAAAAAAAGAAAAAAAAAAAAGATATTAGGTGATATGAGTCAGCCAACATATGTCTTCTACCACTTTTCTTTATCTTCTTCAAGTTTTCTACAATCTTCCATAATTTTCTTCACTGCTCCATTAAAATTTCAAGTCTCTTAGTTGCAATCTCTCAAGTGTCTTATATTTCTTCCTTTATTAAGGATATTCGGAGGTAAAGTTCAACTCCTTATCTTATATAAATATTGTGTATTTCAAGTTATTGAAGTTTCCTTATAATTTATGTTAGGAAAAGGGTCAATTGGAGATAAGGAGGAGGAAATTTGCAAAGGAGTGTGGTTTCTTGACATAAGGTAAGGGAAACTCCCTTTAATAGGAAATAAGAATTAGGTTTATAGGTTTAGTATTAGGGAACCTTAATTCTTGTCACACAATAGCAATTGAGCTTGGTTTGATGCTATAATTGATGGATTTATATGTGAATTGTAAAAACATTGAAGTTTGACGGCAATCAATGGAAGTAGTTGTGACATGAGTTTTTAACATATTACAAGGGAGGTTATTATTGATCTTTTAACATGTTTTCACAGGGGATAATGGTTAGGGAAGGTTAGGGAGTAAGTGGAGGTAAATAGGTAAGGAAAAGTCCTAAAATAGGCATGTTACCATGGTTGCCCTGTCACAGCTGTGACCTTCTGAGTAATTTTTGGGAATCTTACCGATTAACTGGGTTGAGACATAAACATAAAAGTTGTATCCCTGTCTCTAAGATTTAAAATGAGACCAAGATCATATCAATCCGATGTGTATAATTCAAGTTATGCCTTCTTGAATCTGACCTGTGCAGAATGACTATCTCTAAAGTGCTTCTAATGTCTTAATTTATTTTTAGCCTAATAATCTAGGATTGATTCCAAGTATGGAAATGATGTTTAAATGGATTTTAAGTATGTTTGAATGAGTGATCTTTATTATTATTTAATGATTGTATGAGCATATATAGTTGATGCAATGAATGACCATGGAGGTTATGTGGAATATGTTATGTATTACCTAATTATGAGCTTGTGTATGTAAAAACAAGCTTAAGTATGATATGTTCTATGAATTTGTTATGCATCCACAAAATGGTCATGATGAAATGATATGTTCATATATGGAAAGTGTATTTTTTTTTAAGAATGAAGCATGTCAAGCATATTAATGATGAAAAAAGGGGGACTTGATCCCAAGTTTGAGCAAAAATGCTTCCAAGGTACATAGACATACATTTTTGTGAAGGAAAATGATTTGTAAATTTTATGGAAGATGTTGGCATGTTATGGGGAACCTGAGGTCACTCATGCACATGTCTAGTGTAATGACTCCATTCTTATAAAAACATGCATAGTAAAAGTACATGTAACAATAACATAAAAAGTTGGGCCCAAAATTTTTCTTTTATTAAACATATGTACTCTTTATACTAATATATACAAGATTTAGAACATATGCAAAACTATCAAAATAGGGTGGACAGTGTAGCCATTTCTCTTCGTGTGCCGAGGTCCATCCGACTGTGTCCTCATCTAGAACCTGCAAAACATAGGGAACAACTAGATGAGCACAAACAATGCTCAGTAAGTAAACCCCTGAACTCAAATATCTCCGTAACTCTTTCTTTAATATAACTATCTAATTTCTCTTTCTCATAACTCCTTTATGCTAACTTTCTTTCTAGTAAGTCACGGCCCCATCTGACTGGAGGCACGGCTGGGACTCACTCCCACTCCTTGTGACTTCTACTCATTCTAGCCGATCGGACTTGGTTATGCATGGATTCGGAACCTTTGGCCATGTGAGTGCATAGAATCTCTCGGGTAAACTCGGGTATAGCCCTCATCCGCATGTACACTACGGGCTACACCACTTCTCTTTCTGATACTCTGGCCGCTTTCTTGATGCGGCGTACATGCGGGAATACTCTACCCGTACTCACAGGTTCCCCATCGCACAACCTACTCTATTCTCTTATTAAGCACTACTCTAGCTTTNAAAAAGCTTGGGTTGCCTCCCAAAAGCACTTGGTTAAAGTCGTAAGCTTGACTTTTCATTTTCTTCAATCTGGATCATCTAGGAGAATCCAAGCCCTCGTATCCTTAATTTCACCATTCACATAGGGCTTTAATCGTTGTTCATCTACCATCTCAAAGGCAGCCTCCATAGTCCTAGAGTTGACTAAACAATTCTCTAGGGATGAACTAGGGTAGTTTTCTTCTAATTTTTTATTCACTATGTTATCAGGGATACTAATCTCAAAGCATGTGTCAAAGTCGGATGGACGTTTCTTAGCATCAAAAACATTAAACTCTACTTGCTTATCTTCTACCCTTAAGATTAGTTTTCCTTGATGAACATCTATCAATGCTCTACCCGTTGCTAGAAAAGGTCGTCCTAGGATTAAAGGCATTTCCCGATCTTCCTCCATGTCTAATACTATGAAATATACTAGGAAAATCAGTTTGTCTACCTTAATTAAGACGTCTTCTACCACCGCCCTGGGATATGTTATTGATCGACTAGCTAATTGGAGAGACACAGTGGTTGGCTTCACTTCTCCTAATCCAAGTTTCCTGTATATTGAAAATGACATTAATTTTATACTTGCCCCTAAATCTCATAATACTTTATTAAAATAACAACTACCAATAATACAAGGGATAGTTAAACTCCCTGGATCTCGTAGTTTAGGTGGTAGTTTCTTTTGAATCAGCGCTCTGCATTCCTCTGTTATCATTACTTTCTTGTGTTCCTCGATTTTTCTCTTGTGCGTGAGGATCTCCTTCAAAAATTTCGCATATTTCGGCATCTGTTCAAGCATATCAACAAAAGGAATATTAATATGTAGACTGCGGAACATGTCAATAAACTTACCGAATTGCTTGTCTAGCTTCTGATTCTTCAACCGTTATGGCTATGGAAGGTTTGCATGACTCAAAGGAAGTTTCTGCTCAGATTTACGCTCGCCGCAACCACCAGTATCATCGCCGCGATGATCGTCCTTCTTGCTAATGAGCTTCTCCAAATTTTCACGATCGTTGTAGCGATAAATGTCATCGCCACGGTGATCGTTCTTCTGCTCTTCCTTCAATTCTTTCTCTTGTTCTTGCTTCTGTTTTCCACCCTCTGAATTATCCAACATTCATCCACTCCTCAAGGTGATTGCATGCGCTTGTTCCTTGGGATTCTTCTCTGTATCACTCGGAAAACCTCCTTGAAATCTTCCTGCTAATATGTTATGAATTTTCCCAATTTGAGTCTCAAGGTTCCTAATAGAGGTTGATTGATTTTGGACAAGGATGTCAGTCTTCTAAAAACTCTTGCTTGTCTCTTCAATGAACTTGGTAAGCACATTCTCCAAGTTAGATTTTGGCTCTTGAGTTTGAAAAACAGGAGGTGGTGTAGGATCGTTGTTGTTGCTCTAAGAGAAATCAGGATGATTCTGCCATGCTGGGGTATAATTGTTGGAATATGGATTCCTTTGCCTTCTTTGGAAGTTGTTGATGTAATTGAAGTGTTTGGGTTGTGTAAACGGACTTTCTATTTGGCAATCTCTAATTTCAGAAATTGAAGTAGGAGACTTGATAGCATTAACTTTAAGTGCATCACCCAATTGTGGTTGAATAGTTGAAACTTGAGCGGCCAAAGTAGTGTAACCATCTAAATCTAATTCATGAACTCCTACTACTCTCCTTAAAAAACTCCATTCCGAAGGCATCATATAGTTGTTGCTTGCCATCACTTTTCTTAACTATCAGATTGTTCTCTTGTTTTTAGGGTTAAAATGAATTAAGTCTACACTCTTAGTATGTGCAAGATCCAAGACCTAAAAAAAAGAAAACTTTGGTAAGCTAAAAAAAAAATGTATTTATAAAAGAACAAACTAAACCTAATATTAAAACTAAACTAATTAAAATAACAAAAAAAAAAAAAAAAATTAGCAACAAAATATTTCGTATTGATATTGGTAAAAAAAAAAAATAGTTCCCCGGCAACAGTGCCAAAAACTTGACAGGCTTTTCGCAAGTGTACAAAATCGTGCAAGTAGTAATGCTCGAGTAAACGAGTGTCGAATCCCAAGAGAACTACCTACCAAGTACCAAACTAGTCTATTTTATTGCTATTTGATGAAACAAAATTTTATGAATGAATTTAATGAAAAAGAAAACAAATTAAAAACTAAACAAAATCAGAATTTTATGAATACTTTGGCAAATAGATCAATATGACTAAAATAGGGCACAAATTTCACACCAATTTAATCCTATGCATTGACAATTATTGCTAACCTAATTAAGCTGATTCTAAAGGCCAAACTCCTTGATATTTTACTAACTTTCTCTCGAATAATTAGCGAATTAACCCTTAAGCAATAACCCAAAATATCTCTAAGTTGGATTTAGGAGCTAAGAGATCATTACGTTCTATGGAATTTACCCGAGCCTCATAAATCGCGGTAACCTATCTCTAGCGTTCGCTCAATCTATGGTTTTATTACCTTAGACAAATCAGGTTTCATCTCTCGATCTCAACCCAACCCATGATATCATTCAACCCTTAGATTCTTAAGAATTGAAAGCATTACACACAATAACAAAACTTAGAATGCTCAATAAGAGTTAACAACAATACAGTCAACATATATTCATAAATTGGGCTACATCTTTAGCCTTAGAAAAGGGATTTAGTTCATAATTTCAGTAATAGAAACAACCATTGTATTCAATAACATGGGTTCAAGAAAGAAAAATAGAAAAACTTCTCTAATTGGCAAACGAGAACTTCAAGAATTCCGATCTCCAAAAATAGTAGCCATCCTTTCTCTTTCTTTAATCTCCTAAAAACTAATTAAAGACCCTTATTTATAGTGCTAGGATTTGGAGGTTACTTAGGAAATAATTAAATGCCTTAACCCATTCAGATTCGGACTAAGAGAATGCAATAACCCAAACAGGCCCTTGACCCATCACTGCGGCGATAAGAAATGGTCGCTGCGGTGATCGTTCTTTCTATCCCACGAGTCCATGATCTTTAGAATTTGGTAAAGTCATCAACATAAACTTTGTAGCTCTCTGAATAAGCTTTCCAGAGCCACAAGAATCGTCGAATTCTACAGCTCAATTTATGATCGAAACATCGAAGTATGCTCATCTTGAAGGATTTCTAGATTTTACGTTGTATCTTCGACGCGTCACAACTTTCTCGTTTCAACTCCGATTTTTGCATCGTTTGTTCCTACTTGTCACAAATTCCATCAACATCATTGTTTTTCCTTCAAATATCGGTTTGAACCTGAAAATACTCAAAATACACCCGTGATCCCGTAAAAGGTATTTATGAAATAATTAATCAAATTCCACAAATTAAACGCATTTTTCCACAAATAATCCACTTCAATCACTAACAAAATATATACTTTCAAGCTCTTATCAGTAACTCTTACCTCTCATGTCAAGTGATGGTTCAGGTCGCTTCCAGCAGGATCAATCAGCTCGTGGCCCCAGATAAGCTCGACATTCCTGAGACCCTTCCAAGCAAACAGGAAGTTCTCGATGCCCCTAATCTACCTGAGCAACATATGGCAAGAGAGGGATGAGCCCCTCCATTCTTATATTGACAGATTCCACAGGAAGCTCCATAAAGTAGGTCACACTCCCGAAGAGTCCGTTCAGACTCTTATTATCATGGGAGTTCATCCACAGACAGATCTATGGAAGGAGCTGCAATCTGAGGATGATGTTTCCCTCACCTGAGCTGCAATCTGAGGAAGATGTTTCCCTCACCTGTTTCTACAACCTTACGGAAAAGTACCTCCGTATTGAAAACTCTATGGTGGCGCTCAACTGCCACGATCCCGGTCCTTCGGGAAGTGTGCCTGATCGGGGGGAGAATAGGAGGGCTGATCGTAGATGGGTCAATGACGATTAGCGCAAAGGAAAGTAGCAGTGATATGAACCCAAGAAATCCTACGCCCTAGTTCCTCGTCGCGATCGCGACAAGAGTCAATACATCCCTCTGAATGCCTCAGACTTGGCTATCCTTGATAAGTCAGAGGAGGCCGGCCTGCTCGGGGAGCCCGAGCCTATGAAAAATCCCCCTTCAGCCAAAAACAATAAAAAATACTATCGCTATCGTCAGGATAATGGGCATCACACCGATGAGTGTTGAGCCCTCAAGCAAGCAATTAAGGACTTCATCAAGCATGGGCACTTCAAAGAGTATGTCGATGACTCTGCTCCCGTACGAGAGAAAAACCAAGAGGAACTAGGCAAGAAGCGTCGTGGCTACAAGGGTTTCTGCAGCGTAGGGATCATCTTTGGGGGATCGCATCTTACAGGGAATTCGCGAGGTGCCCAAGAAAGGCATGCTCGCGCAACCCATCATGACCCCATCAGTGTAATGAACATGACGCCGCGACCATCTAAGGGTCACAGAGAGGAGGAAATCACCTTCTTCGATAAAGACACAGTACAATTGCATCATCCCTATAACGATGCTCTCGTTATCACACCCTAAATAGGGCAGTACGAGGTCCACCGAATGTTGGCGGACAACGGAAGCGCCGTGAACATCTTGTTCCAGCGAGTTTTCGAAAGAATGAAACTGGATGAGGCTGATCTAAAGCTTGCCTCCATCCCTCTATATGGTTTCACCAGGGATCATCTGATCCCCAAGAGGACGATCTCACTCCGGGTCGCATTGGATGACACCAACGAGGTGACCAAAATTACTGAGTTCCTAGTGGTGGTCTGTCCGTTTGCTTTCAATGGCATCTTGGGACGACCTCTACTAAGAAACTTCAAAGTAGTCACCTCAATCTACCATCTAAGGTTGAAGTTCCCCACCTCGATAGGGATAGGGGAAGTAAGCAGATCTCAATGAGCATCTCGCGACTACTATGTAAGGCCAGTGTAGATGGCGTGCAAGGAAAAAGTTAGTCCATTTGGCATCCCTGAACAGGCAATGGTGATCAGCCGAATCGAACCATAACCTGGTCTGACTGAGGATAGCATAAATCCTCGTATCCAAGAATGCCCTTCCAATGGGTTGGTTGAGGACTTATCTGAAGTGTCAGTCGATCAGAGTGGGCTGAGCTGAGTGCTGAGAATTGGAAGTAATCTCAACCCCTAGCTCGCCAACGACCTGACCAGCTTCTTCAAGGAAAATATTGACGTGTTCATATGGACCTATGCTGACATAGTCAGGATCAGCCCAAATATCATTTGCCATGCCCTGAATATCAATAGTGAGGTCAGGCCGGTCTGCCAGAAGAGAAGAGCAATGGATCCGGAGCGATATGTTGCCTTGAAAGTTGAGGTAGATAACATCCTCTTAAACAGATCCTTCTGGGAAGCACTCTACCCGAGCTAGGTCGCCAACCCGGTTTTGGTAAAGAAGCCCAACGGCAAATGGCAGACCTGTGTTGACTTTACCAACCTTAACAAAGCCTGTCCGAAAGACAACTTTCCCTTACCAAGAATCGACCAGCTCGTTGATGCCACCTCTAGGCACGAGCTACTGAGTTTTATGGACGCCTACTCGGGATACAATCAAATTTTAATGTACGCAGTGGACGAAGAGCCTACCTCCTTTGTTATAGATTGGGGGCTGTATTGCTACAAAGGTATGCCCTTCGGCCTAAAGAACGCTGAAGCAACTTACCAGTGACTGGTTAATCGGATGCTTTCTGAGCAAATCAGAAAATCAATGGAAGTCTATGTTGATCAAATAGAAAATCAACTTACCTGCTGGTCAAATCGCATGTCACTTCTGATCACATAACACACCTCGCTGAGATGTTTGGCATACTCCGAAAGTACAGAATGAAGCTCAATCCTCTCAAATGCTCGTTCGGAGTATCCTTAGGAAAATTCCTGAGGTACATGGTTAACCAGAGGGGAATAGAGATCAACCCCAAAAAGATCTAAGCTCTCCTCGATATGAAAAGCCCGACCAACCGAAAATAGGTTCAGAGTCTTAATGGACGAATAGCAGCACTCAGTCGCTTCATATCAAAGGCAACAGATCGCTGCTTGCCATTCTTTAATATACTCAGGGCCAACAAAAAATTTGAATGGACTCCCGAGTGCGAACAAGTATTCCAGAGCATTAAAGAGCACCTCGGAGAGCCACCTCTTCTGTCCAAGCCCCTCCCGCAAGAAATTCTTCTTCTGTATTTGTCCATCTCTCAGTATGCGGTTAGCGCAGCTCTAATCTGGGAGGAAGACAGGGTCCAATGGCCAGTATATTACATGAGCAGACGTCTGCTGGACGCCGAAATACGGTATTAAAAAATGGAGCGATTAGCCTATGCCCTACAGATCGCCTCCAGAAAGTTACGACCTTATTTCCATGCCCACACAATCCATGTATTGACCAACTATCCGCTCAAGCAAGTCCTTTAGAAACCGGAGGCTTCGAGCAAGTTGCTCAAATGGGCCATGGAACTAAGTTAGTTCGATCTATAGTACAAACCAAAAGCAACAGTCAAAGGGCAAGCTGTTGCCGATTTCATCTTGGAATTCTCATATCAACTGGTTAAGGAATCTGAATAACAGGCTAGCGAAGTCACCAAGGAAACTGTTCAAAATCTATCGACCTAGAGCCTCTATGTCGATGGATCCTCGAACAGGAGAAGGGCAGGGGCAGGCCTTCTCCCTTTTAGTCCCGAAGGGACTCGCATTCACGGCATTCTTTGGTTTGGATTCAAAGCGACCAACAACGAGGCTGAATATGAAGCTCTGCTTGCTAGTCTGTGGTTGGCAAGAGAAATGGGATCAACTGCGATCAGCATCCACAGCGACTCCATGCTGGTTGTTAACCAGATTTTGGGAGAATATCAAGCCAATGAAGAAAACATGATCAGTTACCTGAAGAAAGCTAAGGCCGCACTCGAGCCATTTAAGCACTTCATGATCATGCAGATCCCTAGGGACAGTAATTCAGTCATGGATGCCTTAGCAAAGATAGCCCCATCACTGGATTTAGATGCGCCAAAGAGTATTCCTATTCGGTTTATAGAGATCCTTAGTACTAGCACGCCCGAGCAGACTGTGAATGCAACTGAGTAGGTTTCCTGGATGACCCTAATCATTCAGTATCTCCGAGATGGGACCTTGCCTAACGACAAGATCGAGGCAAGAACCATGCAAACTAGAGCTGATCGTTACACACTTATAAGAGATCAATTGTACAAGCGGGGGTTTAGCGCCCTTCTCTTCCGATGTGTAACCGATGAAGAGATAGACTATAGCATGAGGGAGATACATGAAGGGATCTGTGGTAATCACACGGTCGCGCGATCTCTCACCAACAAAGTTGTTCGTCAAGGGTATTACTGGCCTCTACTCCAAGAAGACACCTTCAACTTTGTGAAAAAGTGTGATAAGTGCCAACGGTTTGCGAACATACCACGAGCTCCTTCCCACCAGCTGGTAACCATGACCAGCCCCTGGCCATTCTCTATGTGGGGAATTGATCTTATTGAACCCATTCCAGTTGGTAAAGGAGGGGTCAAGTATGCGGTGGTCGTGGTGGATTACTTCACTAAGTGGGTCGAGGCCGAACCTTTGGCCACAATCACCACCAAAAAGCTCAAGGACTTTGTCTTCAAAAACATAGTATGCCACTATGAAATTCCTCATACTCTTATCTCTGATAATGGGAAGCAATTCGACAACGAGGAATTCAAGCAGTTTTGCAATGAGCTGGGAATCCACAAAAAGGTCGCCTTTGTTGCAAGACCACAAGCAAATGGTCAGGTTGAAACTATCAACAAGAACATCAAGCATACTCTAAAAGCCAAACTTGGCACTACTAAAGGTAATTGGGTTGACGACCTCCCTGAAGTCCTATGGGCATACATGACAACTCCGAGAACCGCTACCTCAGAAACTCTTTTCTCGCTGGCACATGGCTGCGAGGTGATGATCCCTGTGGAGGTGGGAACTGGTTCACTTCAGAGAGACCTGTTTGATGAAACAGACAATGAGGCGCTTATGAGCGCATGTCTGGATTTAGTTGAAGAATATCGCAGCAAGGCTCAGCTAAGGATAACAGCCTACCAACAGCACACGAAAAGATTCTTCGACTCTAAGGTTAGAAGAAGAGACTTCCATGTCGGCAATCTTGTTATGAAAGAAGTCCTTGTTGGTACACGAGAACCAAGTGCGGGATTATTGGGGCCGAATTGGGAAGGCCCATACCGCATTGCTAAAGTGATAAGATCGAGGACTTATCACCTTAAAAGACTGAACGATTCTGAAGTATCGCGAGCTTGGAACGCTGAACATCTTCGCCCATATTATCAGTAATTCTGAACTTGTTTTCCTAATTTCCTTGCAAAGACTTACTTTTTCAAAACTTGTAAATAAGATAAGCTCTTTTGTAATGTCATTTCCCACATGTATATGATTCTGTTCGCATAGATATTTTTTGTACGAATGATATTAGAAAGCGACCTCGTGTCCACATGTGTAAAGTTTGTGGGGTACGAAAAATTATAAGTACTCACAAATAATTAAGGAAACGATCTCTTTATTTATTGTAAAATAAAAATAAGTACATATCAGCAAGCATGGAAAAAAAAAGAAGCCATCACTGGCCTTCATCCCCAAGTCCTGGATGTGCGACCTTAGCATCCCTAGGTCCTGGATGTGCGACCTCAGCATCCCTAGGTTGGTCGTCGATCACTTGGTTGGCCACAAGTTCCTCAGGGACATATTCCTCCGGATGCTCATCTTCCGGATCAGGCCTTTGACCTTCCTCCTCATTGTCGGCCCGTGCCAAAGAAGTGAGGATCCTCTAGTAATCGTCGGAGAGGTCGGTAAGGTCTATGGTGGGATTCTTCGATCGAAGGGCATAGATGGATTGAATCGTCCAATCGGTAGCCCTCCTCTCAATCTCCAGCTTTTGTCGCTGCATCTCTTCGGTCAGCAAAACGACGTGACCCTGGGCAAATTGGAGTTCGGCCTCAAGTGCCCACCTCTGCTTCTCGGTGGCTTCCCATAACTACGCTCTTTCTTGCTCTGCTCGCAAAGCCCGCTTGGAGTTCGCTTGTAGCTCTAGCTCTCTCTCGCTAGCCTCTTTGGTGAGTTTGGCCATTGTCCTTTGGAGTTTTTTAACCACCTCTCCTGTTTTCTCCACCTCAGCCTTTTGGAAATCCACCGTACGAAGTGCATCATTCCTCTCAGATAGATATTGGTTCGCCTGAACAGTGGATAGTTTCCTCTCTGCTTGGGCGGCTTCTAAGTCCTGTTTAAGCTGCGCGTTCTCTTCTCTCAGCTCGACCAGCCCCTCAGTAGCCCTCAACTAAGTCTTCTACTGGGCTAGGTCCACGGCGAGTAGAGACTACAAAGTGAAAAGAGCAAAGGATTAAATTCTTTTCCGTTAAAAAAGTAAGGAAATGTAAGAAAGTCCTCGACGAGGACAAATCGCTTTACCGTGCTTTGATGCTGGAAGGCCATGGTCATTAGGTTTACGGGGTTAGAAGCTATGAACTATTCGAATGCCTCTACGAGCTGGCACTCTAGTAGGGTAAACATCGCCAGCTACAGATGCTCTGGGAATTACCCCACGGAGTCTAGCACGGGAGTGCCCATCCTTGGGGTAGGTGGCACCTCGCCCACCAGTTCTTTGCCCGCTCTTCTCCCGGGGTCTGCGACCTCCCCTTGACCCATTGACGGACCTTCAGGGGCAATGGTGACATTGGTCGCACCCCTAAGAGGCTTCCCTGAGCGGAAGGCCTGGTAAGGCTACGACCTCCTAGGCTGAATGCCTAAGCCCTTCGGCTCAGACTCAGGCTCAGACTCCTCGACCCAAAGCTGCTTCCTCTTTTTGGACTTTTGGGCTATAGTCTTCTGCTTGGGATGAGCAGCCGCAGGCTGGGAAGCACTTGCTAGTCAAATCGGCGTCGCTGTCGGTGTCTCTCTGACGGGGGGACCGTTGGGGGCCACCTCGACTGGTCCTATTACACCAACCCGAGGGAAGGCAAGCTCCCTCACTCTTAGTGACCTAGTTACCTTGGGTGGCATGGTCACTGCATGCGAACATCGTTAGTATAACAGTTCGCCCCATGCAAACATCAAGTTTGGATAAGGTCATGAGTACTTACTAGGTAAGGTTTCCAAGGTCGCTTCGGGGTTGAAAAACCCGTATTTCCCAAGTTTGCGATCATCATGAGCAACCTCACATCGCGACTCTATTCAGACAGAAGACCGAAAGTAATGATCCTATCAAAATCAGCGAGAGCCAATAACCTGGTCGTCTTGTTTACTGCAAAGAAACAAAGAAAGCTCGTTAGCAAAGGTAAAAAGAAAGAAAATTCGCTAAGAAAGAGAAAGGAAAACCTACCCGGCTCCTTAAATTGGCAAATGCCGTCATAGTGAAAAAAGAAAAACTTTGTCTCATACGCCCTGACATTGTTGGGGTAGCTATGTATTCCTCTCTCGATCGTAGATCACTTCGAGAGGTAAAAAGAGTCTTTGTCTTTACTCTTCTTCAAATAATACGAGCAGCCGAGCTCTAGCGCAGTCAGCTCACCTAAGCCATTCTCGTCGCATGCGATATACATAGCCATGACTATCATATATGCGTGCGGCGTTAGCTGTAACGGTGCGACCTCGAAGTGATCGAGGACCGACCTTATGAAAGGGTGGAAGGGAATCAGCGCTCTACACTTAAAAATGTTCTCGGAGATCGCAGCCATTCCTTCTGGCAGATTCCGAGCTGTGTACGTCCTATGTTGGTAGACATCTACGCTAAGTGTGTATTGGTCTACAGCTTTTGGAATCTCCTCTGCTGTGGCTATTGATAGAATCTCCTAAGAGGGACCTTCTGGGTCATCCTGTACCAACGAGCTCATTCCCTCATCTGTCTTGGCTGCTGAAGGGTCCATTTCTTCTGCGGTCTAAAAAAGAGCGACATGCAGGAATTGCTCAGTCGTCGTACACAATTTCGTACGATGACGTGGAAGAAAAAGGTAAACACCATCTTCCTTAAACCCTAGAAAAACCCTAAAGAATCCTTAGGGGCCACCCCCAAAGACTCAAACCCTAGGAGAAAGCTTATTCTCCGATCAACCACAAGCAAACGTTCACCGTTATCGCATGACTATCGTAAAAAAACAAAAAAATAAAAGGCAATGAAAGAATCATCTTTACCTCTCGAATATGAAGATTGATCCTCCTGCTCTGAATATCAAGTGCGCACCAATCTGAAAGGTGGAAAATCAAGTCTCGCGAAAGCTTCTTGTTCTCTTTACAAAAGTGAGTATTATGACATTGCTTGAGGTGAGCCTGAGATTTTATAGTGAAGGAAGTTGCGCTTGGTTTTCTCAAAATCAAGCGACGTTTGAACGAAAATCACCTCTCACCGTTGATCGCGACCACGTGTCATCAATCAACGGGAAAGAGTAACCGTCACGCTTCGAGAAATCAAATCGTCATTTCCCTCTGTTGAAATAATCAAGCAACGGCTCGTTTCCCTCTTCCACATTAAATGTGCATTCCTCCGCATTTAATGTTCTAATAAGGAATTTCGTTTCAGCATGGCTTACATTTAATGCGCATGGTTGACACTTATTGCGCATAGGACACGTCTGCTAGAGCAAAAGGTGTTTCATTAATGTATTAGCTGCCAAAGTACAACGGATGACATCTAAAGAGGTCGTTAGGTAAAACACTCTTCGTCCCATCTGTTGTGAAGCGATGTGACTTCTTGCCTCCAGCCAAAAAATACGCTAAGTATATCCAGGTCGCAGACCTCAGTCAGGATAAGAGTTTCATCAGCATGGCACTGAATAAGGCCTGGTCCAGGTCGTAAACCTAGTAGAAGAGGACCATTTCAGGTCGCCTATACAGAAATGTCTTGCGACCTCCTCGCAGCCAGGTCGGATCGATCAATCGTCATTTGGCACATCTCAAATCAAGGCATAATTGTGTAGTTTTCAAGGTTCGATTCTCAAACCTTAAAAACTAGAGGACTTCTGTTGTGCCTAGAAAAGTAGGGCTGTAATGCCCTTTTTGAGGCATGTAGTTTTGTAAGCTTATTTTTGTCTTGGTGTTGTTTGTTGGCCCTAGGTTAAATTGATATGTTGTTATTGTTGATTGGTGACCCTTGGTTAAGTTTGTAAGTTGTTGAAGTTGCTTGGATGTCCTGATTTTGGTGAAGGATTGGCGAAAGCATGGAAGTGCAGACTTCGCCGTGGCGACGTACGCTCTGTATTTTTTCGCCACCTTCGCTGGGGTGAAGAGTCGACTGATTTTTCTTGTGAAATTTCTAGAGAAAATTTTCATAGGGGTGAAGTGACCATTCTACCCCTAATTAGCAGGAAAAGTGGGGAGTGAAATGCAAGGAAATTTCAAGGAGAATGCATTGGATTAGGGGTGTATTTGTAAAGGATTAAAGGACAAGGATGTTATTTCCAAGATAGAGTAAGGGCAAAATGGGAAAGAGTGCTTATTTATATGAGATATTAAGGGTTTAGCTTTACAAACCCTCCCATTCAATACACCCACACGCCACTTCCACTCTCCATTCCTCTCATCTCTTCATCTAATTATCCAAGGAAATTAAGGGCTTTTGGTTGGATTTTGACAAGGATTTGATTCTAAGCATCAAGAGGTAAGGATTCTTGCTCTAGTTATGAGATTAATTTGAGTAAGTGTTGAATTCTTATAAAGTTTTATGCTTAGGGTTTGAGAAAGAGAACAAGTCCAACAAAGATAGTGAGCTTTTGTAAAACTACTCAAGAAAAAGGTAAGTAAATCCAACCCTAACCTTTGTTTGAGCAAGTAAATCATAGAGATTGTTTTATGTGAATTTTATATGAAGTTCATATGCTTGAGATTTGTGCATGGAACTTGTTATTGAGTTTAATGATGATCCATGAATGGGTTTTCTACATGAGAAGGGTTGGTTGAGTTGATGGAATTTGATAGAAGTTGGGTTGAATTTAGAAAGAGTTTAAGAGAATTTATGAAGTGTATTTTCTTGGCTAGGATTTGTGATGATTCAAAGGAGTTGTACTCCACTTATGGATGGTCCAACAAAGAAGTAGAATTATGGTTAAAATAGAATTTTTGTATGCATGCTTATTGTTTGATGAAATGCCTAAGAGAAACATATGCATGAGTAGAGAAACTTAATTTTGTGCAACATTGCATATTTGCATTGCATAATTGCACTTAAGAAAGAAACATAAGCATGAGCCATCCACACGCATATATTTGCATATGCACAAGAACTTCAAGAAAGAATAAAGAATTTTTAAGAATAAAGAGAAAGAAAGAAAAGCACTAAAGAATTAAAGAAAGAAAAGTGCTAAAGAAGAGAAAAGAATAGGTTGTTGTGATGGGGGACCCGTGTGTGTTAAGAAGAAGAAATTCCCACATACACGCCACCTTAATTGAGTGGCATAAGAAGAACAAGAATTTGTACGGCCCGTAAGAGTGTATGTGGATGAGGGTTGTACCAAGAAGAATTTTCTACATGCATGCCACTTTAATTGAGTGGCCTAAGAAGAAGAAAGAATTTGTACAGTCTGCAAGAGTGCATGTAGATGAGGACTATACTCACTCACACGGTCAGGGTTCTGAATCCATGCATCAACCGAGTCCGATCGGCAAAGAATAAGAAAAGAAAGAATAAGAATAAGAATAAGACTGAGAATAAGAATAAGGAAGAATAAGAAAGAATGAGAAAGAATAAGAAAAACAAGAAAAGAAAAGAAAAGCATGAAAAGAAAAGAAGAGCTTGATCAAGCAAGAAAAGAAACAGAATAAGAAATAGAAAGAAGAAAAGAAAACACATGTCTATGCATTACTACATATGCATTTCATTCATGCATGTTACCATGATTTCCACCATGATTAGCGAGAATAAGAAAGAAAGAATAGAGGGAAAGAAAAATGAAGAAGAAAAGAATAGAGTAAGGAAAGAACCAAAGTATAAGTCGCAGGGATAAAGGAGTTACTTACTAAGCATTTTTGTGCTTACCCCGTTGTTTTTCCATGTTTTGTAGGAAATAGGTGAGAAGCGGTCGGATGAACGTCAACAAGCGGAGAGAAATGGCAATTCTGTCCACCATTGTAAAAGCTTTTGTATATGTGGTTTTGCTATGTACAGAATAATATATGTTAAGTAAAGAAAAATTTTGGGCCCAGCTACTTTTCAGTTATTAAGTATGTACATTTTTTCATAGAATATTTTCTAAGTATACTAGTAGAAAAGAAGGTATTACAATGGCTAACGTAGAACCTTGTCAGCATGGGTGGTCAGAGCTTATGAAGGTTCTACGACCACTCAGATGCGGCCACGTCACGTGATAACGTGAGCGGCATGCTCCTGCCAGTGTAGTAGGTGTACGCTAGGTTGGCGAAAGGTGGGAAAACATCCACGTGTCCGATCCCTGCACAAGTCGAGGAAATCACTCGGGCAGGTGAGCAATGGGACGCAGAGATGGATTTGCACGGTATCTACCATACTTGCAGATTTGGTAATCATTACATTGGTTCATCCCACTATAAATAGAGGACTTCTCTCCGATTTGTGGGATTGGCTAATTTCACTCTGGAATAGCATACTCTCTCTCTCCCCCTCTCATTTGTATTCTCCCAATTGTAACTCAGCTCGCTGAGCGCGACCTGACTTCACTCATTAATATAGTATCAATGGACATAGGATTCGCCTTGTGAGCATCCGAACCACTTTAAACATTGTTTTTCACCCCCCCAATTAACTAAACACTTCCATAATCACATATGACTTTTGAGCCCACTCAACATTTCTCACGTGCGAGTAGTTGATGTCAAAATCGAGCATCAACACTTTCATCAGACAATCCATTAAGAAAATTGATTTCTTAGTTATTCCAGAATATTAATAATTTGGATAAATATTAATAATCACATCATTCCTGTCCATTCTATAAATAAACCATCAATAGCTTCCTAATGAACAAACTAATTATATCATTTGTATTTTATATTTGTTTAGTATAATAATTTTAAATGTATATTTATTAACCATTATTCTTATGATGATTTATAGTTTATTAAAAAAATAAATACATATCATGGTTAAGGATGACAATTTTAACTCATAAATCTATTCTGTTGGGATAAGTTTAGGGATATTAATTAGTGGGTCTGGATATATATAATATTTATGATAAAAGATTTCTTACCATGATAGATTTGAAAAAAGTCAGTGATTTTATTTCCTTAAAGAGTCAAGTTATCCATTGTTATCCCTAGTCATATATAGAATCAGATTTCTTTTTTTATTAGCCAGCTTAAAAAAGAGAAGAGGAAAACATAAATATAAAAGTATAAAAATGGCATGACAAAAGCAAAAAGAGACATTGTAAGACCATGCAATAGACACAAACACCAACACAATCACCACTCAACACTCACAGAATAATTCTTTCCTCTTCTTTCTATATAAGTCTTCTAAATATTTACGAGTACATTTACCTCAAACATCATTAGTTAGAGCACACATCAACATGTTGTACAACAACAAATCCTTTATCTTTTTCATTCTCACTTCTCTTCTTCTCTCATCCCATCTTCTTCATTTTATATCTGCTTATGCTTCTCAACATGGTATGTCCCTTTCATTTGAATGTTATGTTTATCATTGTAAATGTTATACTTTTTTTGAGAAATTCGTTAGTATTAATTGATATTAATCCATTAGTTAACATGCATGCAATTGTTTAAGTCATCTTCTGTGTTCTGGTTCTGCATAAAATGGTTATCAAATTATTTGCTTTTTGTCTCATTGATTTAAATATTTGGCTGCCCCTTTCTTGCTTCTGTCTCGTTTTTGTTTTAAAAGAGATTGGTTTGTTCATACAGAAACAAGTTATTATAATTAGTTTTATTGTCATTTTGAGAACAATTATTGGGTAATCTTGATTTAAGGTTATAACCTATACGGATATTAATTATTGGTTCGAATGTCACTGTATGACCTGTCAAAACAGTAACCTGACCCTTCTTTGTTTTGTCCCTTTTTATTTGTCTGGTTCTTAATTCATGCTTTAAAATAAAGAAGGAATTAGCTTCTTTGCTTAGTGATTAGTTTGTTTTGATTTTTTTATTATTTACTTGCAGGACCATATCATAATTTTCCTTTTTACTTACTAGGTTCTTTCTTTAAAGTTTAAACTAGTCACCTTTACTTTGTATCTTAATTAACTGCATGAAAAGAAAAGAAGAAATACTCTTTGTTTTCTTCTCTCTTTTTGCTTCTCTACAGATTTTGGAAACTGTAGTAAATCTTCTTCACGATAGTGAATTTGTGCTATGCAGGATCATACAATTAATAGGCATGAATTACTAAAATTTATAATGATTAGTTATATAAGGTCATGATGAACTAAAATTTGATGATTTCATGGAATGTAGAAGACCATGAAACTCCATTCTCCTACAGTGAAGGAACTGGTAAAGGGCCAAAGAGCTGGGGCAACATCAACCCAAATTGGCGAACTTGCGGGAATGGAAAAATGCAGTCTCCCATTGACCTTGTTGGCAAAAGTTTGCTAGTTTCAGCTACTCTAGGCAAACTAAAAAGGGACTACAATCCGGCTTCTGCTGTTTTGCAGAAAGGACATTTCATTTCAGTAAACAACTACTACCACTCTTCTTTTAACCTTGCGTTTTTATTTCGAGCAGTGTTAATATCTTTACAAGATTAGATGTTGGAATATGTTATGGTAAAATTGCTTGGGATTGATTATGTATTTGTTTGTTGATAGAATTTAATTTCTAATTTTGAAATGAGTGGTTGCATTTGTCAGGTAAAATGGAAAGGAGATGCAGGACAAATTAACATAAATGGAACTTACTATAAACTAGTTCAGTGTCACTGGCATACCCCGTCTGAGCATACTTTTAATGGATCTAGGTTGCTTCATTTCTCCTTTAATTTCTTTGAAACTTGATTATGTTTTCTTTTGCTTTCACATTCACTTTTTATCTGCTGAATTGTAGGTATGAGTTGGAACTTCATATGGTTCATGTAAGTTCTGATAACAAGAAAGCTGTTATCGGAATTGTGTATGAATATGGCCATCCTGATCCTTTCCTTTCAAGGGTATGATTTTTCTTCTGTTTGCTTAACATTCTTCAGGAAGTTTCGTTTTCCTAGCATTCATTGAAGTACTCCGTTTAAAATTTTAGTTCTCTCTGAGAAATTTGATGCTTTTCTTGTTCATTACTGTTTACTTTTTTTTTCTCTCATTGTTTCAGCTTTTCCCCTACATAAAATCACTAGGGGGGAAAGAAAAAGAAATTAGAAATGTTAATCCCGGAGATGTCAAATTCGGTAGTCGGAAATACTACAGATATATAGGTTCACTCTCGACTCCTCCTTGCACCGAGGGCGTGATTTGGACGATAGTGAACAAGGTAACTTAAACAATATAATTTTGTTATCAAATAAACTCTTTCAAATTATTCCAAATAATACACCATTGAAGCACTCTAATAAAATACTACTTGTCTGATACAGGTGAGGACAGTTTCAAGGGAGCAAGTAAGAGCATTGAAGGAAAAGGTTGAAGATGTAAGTGCCTTTTCCTGTAGAATTTGATCAACATAAATTAATCTCTTGTTGTTTTTATCTTTGTTGATTTCTTGGTTACCAGGGATTTGTGGAAAATGCAAGGCCAACCCAGCAACTGAAAGGAAGAGCAATTTGGTTCTATAGTCCATGAGAAAATTGCTGAGAGGTTACTATTCATTGATTTTAATGAAGACAGGAAGAGAGTGTAATTCACTTCCATTATTACTGCCTAAATTTGGTTGGTTTTCTTTATGTGTTCATCCTATGCATTGTGATGTTTAAACTAAATCAGCAAACAAAGAGTTATTTTTAAATAAGAGGATGATTTCAGAAGGGGAATCAGCATATTATTTACTCTTTTCACCGCACTTTTAATTTGATCTGCTGATTCTTTTCTTTCTAGTCTATTAGGATACATTCATTAAAAAAATCAAGGCATTTTTTACGAAGCTCAGATTAAAATAGTTCAAATTTGAAGTACTTGAGAATTACATAATAATGACATATATTGTTCGCTTAATTGAAAGTTTTTATTTTATAAGTATTTAACAAATTGAAAATTTATTCGATGGTTTACTAAATAATTAAATAAACTAATAAATAAATATTTATAGTAGAAAATGATTACCTAAACAATAATAATTAATTTTAATCCCTAAGCGAAATTTGTAATAAGTTTATTAATTTTATTATAAATACATACAAAAAATCAATTCAAAATTAATTCAATAAAGTATTTAATTATTAAAGTAAATCTTTCCTTTTAGTATTAACCAAGGAAAAAAATTATATTAAGTTAGCATGTTAATTATCAAGGAGATATTTGAAATTAACCTGCATTAAGCTTGCCATATATAATAGTTTTTTTTTTTTTTTTAATTTAATAACCGGTAATCACAATTACAATTAATCCATGTTTGATGGTCCCGCGCCATGTCTCCCAAGTTTTTTCATGGAATGTAGTGTTGACCGCGAAAACTCGTAGGTGCTGAATATGGTTATTTCACGTCCTGGACCATCGACTGTTATGCTGCTCGGTGGACACAGGAGTCGCCAAGCCTGGGATCAGGTCTTCAGTTGCCTGAAGCTCGGACCCCGAGAGCCTTCACACTAACTTTAACAGGCCTCGTTCCTTTCTCACGCACAAAAGACGGTCAAGGGGCTCATGGGGGTGCCATTAGCTGCAAGGGTGTTCAAAAGCGGTTAACTGCTTTTCTAAACCGAACTGGTTTTTCGGTTCAGGAAAATTCTCAAACCGAAATCAAACCGGTTTGGAGGGAAAACCGGTTTCCCTTTTTTTTTTAATAAAACTTATTTTTTTAATTTTTTCTTAAATTAAAATATAAATATAAACAATACATATCCAAATAAAAATTAAATATTCATACGTATCTATTGGTCACTATTAAAAATACATTAAAAATTGATATAAATAAAAGTTCGAAATGAAATTATTTTTTATTTAATATATAATATATATTTTTATTTTTATTTAATATATAATATATATATTTGTAAAACCGGTTCAAAAAACCGGTTTCGGTTAACTTTTTTTTATTTTTTCCCAAATTAGAAATTCAGTTTTTTGAATTTTTTGAACCGTAACCGAACCGTTTTTTCGGTTCGGTTCAATTTTTGCATTTTTTTTAACACCCCTAATTAGCATAGAGTCTTCGACGCTTAAGTTAGAGATCTAGTCTTTATATTAAGACTTGGAATAGATTTATTTTTAACAAAAATGCTTGTTGGATCAATTGATCAGGATAAAATAGGGATATATTTGGCTTTTCATAAGATGACCATGTATAAAAAGACCTATTTATCCTTTCTGAATTAAAAAGTAAAAAGAATGATTTAATGGTGAGAGAGAGTAATTTCAAATTTTATTGAATTCTCTCTCTCATCACTAAGTCTGAAAATCAAATTTTAATAAGATATTTTCAAAATATTAGATTTGTTACCAAAATCCAATATTTTAATTTAATTATATGATAATAGTTATTATACACTTGACTCATGCCAACAATTATAAGTTTAATTATAATCAAGACATTTGTGATAAAAATTCAATTTCAAACAACATCTTCATTGTTGCCGAAAGTTGCTTCCAATACCGCATTTCGCTCTTCGGATTCCACAGTTCCCTTCCAAATTGAACAATAAATAATGTTTTCCTTCCAACACAAAAATGAGCACTTATTAATAAACAAAACCATACCAAACGAAATATGAACACTTGGATTACAATGGTTGACTTAATCGAATTTTAAGTTGTCTGTGCATAGATTAAAAAATCTCTTGTACAAAATCTATGAACATTCTCTGAATAGAAATCTATAAATATATTAATATTTTCGTTTATTTTTTAAATTAATACAATCTAATTTTATTAAACAAATACAGAGAAAATGACTTTTGTCATAATGACATGACATACTCATTCTATACGAGACTTTATAATTGATTACCTGTACAAATAAATAAATAAATAAATAAATAATAATAATAATAATAATAATAATAATAATAATAATAATAATAATAATGATGATGATGATTTAAGATGATTAAGAGTATTTAAGAAAAAAAAAATACTTTGTTATCAATATTCAAAATACATATACATAAAACATTGATATACGGAAAATATTTTTTTTACAACTCTCTCTATTTTATCCACACAACATTTAGATCAATATACAAAAAACATTTTTTTATCTGGCTTTGTCTTTTTTATCCACACAATATTGATGCAGCAATGAACAGTGATATACAGTGTCATATGAACAGTGATGTACAGTGAACAGTGCTAATAGTGCCGACGATGTCAGAATGCGACGAATTTTGGCGTGGCACTTTGAAATAGTCAAATAAGTTAGGCTTGTGATTAATGAGTTTTGTTGTTTTTTAGCCTTTTAGAATCGTTTAGATGGGTTTTTAGGCATTTTTATGTTTTTCAAGGGTGTGTTTGCAAACGTCTAGAGTTTTTGGGTTTCTTTACAACTTTTTGAAAGTTTTGGGACCTTTTGGAGATCATTGTTTAATGTTCTTTTTCTTGGTTTTTTGATTAGGGAAAATTATAAAAATGCTGTTATAGCCGTAATAGGGCAGTTTTTTTATGATTATTTTTATTAAATAAAAGTTAAGAACCTTTTGTGGTTGCTTATTCAATCCAGTATCCGAACTTGATACATTTGGTGGTGGTTTTTCGTATCAATTGTTCCTTGATTGTTTAGTCGTTCTTTTTCTTGGGTTTTTTATTAGGGCAAACTATAAAAAGGTTGTTATAGCCGTAATAGGGCAGTTTTTTTTATTGTTATTTTTATTAAATGAAAGTTTAAGAACCTTTTGTGGTTGCTTATTCAATCTAGTATCCGAACTTGATACATTCGGTGGTGGTTTTTGTATCAAATGTTCCTTGATTGTTCAGTCATCTTATTATTTCGGCATCAAACATTCAGATCAATATACATAAAACATTTTTTATCCAGCTCTATCTATTTTATCCACACAACATTTAAATAAATTACAAAAACATTTTTTATCCAACAACTATTTTATCACAATATGAACTAGCATATTCATTTGTTGGCAAAAATGAGATAAAAGGGTGTGCAGGTATGAAAATGTGTTGAAAATTAATGTGTTGCAAACGGTTCTTACACTTGCAACAAGGGATTACACTTACAACTTTGGTTGATAAAGGTTTGACACAAGAAAAAAGCATGTGTTTGCAATAAGAGATTACACTTGCAACTTTGGGAGATAAAACGGGTACCTTTACATTTTTTTTTATAGCAATTTAATTATTACAATAAATTAATGCTTACTTTCCAACCTCTATTCTTGGAAACATTGAAGTAATAATTACTTCTCTCTCATCCTTTCATAATGTTAATGGTGTAAATTATTTTTCCTCCAAAAAGATGGGTTTAAGAGCCAAATATAATTTTATTTTAATAAAGAGTAAATTTGTAAATTTACTTTCCCAATCAAGTTTTTGATCTAAATCAGTTGATCCAAATATCATTAATTTATCTATATATCTATACAATCCTTAAGCCCACCCTCTTTAGCGATCGCCAATTGGACTCCACGTAGGATTCCAGCTGGATCTCTATAATTGGTACAGGTGTTTGGCCTATTTACTTTGTAGAAACTGTTCACATTCGCATTTAATGTTCTGTGTAAATTACTCGCATCCACATTCGCTTTGGTTTGTAGAAACTATTCACATTCAATGTTTTCTAGAGGTTTTTGACATTTTGTTGATAGATGCTGATAATTCGTATGCATTCATTGTTTTGTAGAAACCTTTGGTTTGTATATGTGAATGTGAAGTGGCGCATTTATTTTTCTGGTTTATTGTTTAACTAATCAAATAAATAGTAATAATTCATATGCATTCATTGTTAACCTTTGGTTTGTATATGTGAAAGTGAAGCGGCGCATTTTTTTTTTTGGTTTATTGTTTAATTAATCAGATAAATACCGATAATTCATATGCATTCATTGTTTTGTACAAACCTTTGGCATTTCTATTCATTGTTTTGTACAAAATTTTGGCATTGTGAATGTGAAGTTGTGCATTTTTTTTTTTTTTTTTTTTTTTTTTTTTTGTGAATGGTTATACATGCACGGATAGGCATGAATAGTAATGGATTGATAATGTCTATTATTGATTTTTGTGAATGTGAAGAGATGCATTGTATCAGTTGTAGAATTAATGACTTTGAATCCTCTATATATAGGTCGATTATGTAATAGTTTGTTATACCATTCATATGAAGAAAGACAGGTGTGTCATTGCGAATTGTTATTTATCATTATTTTATTTTGGTTTTTTCAGTTTATTATTAAACTTTTGATGCTCATAATGTATTAATTTGTTCAGGAATATTTAATTGGTTTTGAATAATTCGCAGTTGTGTTGTTATAGTCCTGTTTGATTTGCAGGCGGACCAAAGTGAATAATTTTTTTGTCTACTTGGGGACCAATTTTGAACAATGCTTTTTTTGCTTGATGAACACTCTTGTTTAATCCTATAATTGTAGTCATTGCTGAACAATGTTGTTTAATGTTAAGAGTCAAGTTGTGAAGAAAATAAAGAATGAAAGTATGAAAGAACACATACTCAATAACTTCTGTGATCTTCTATATTGAATAAAGAAGACATAAATAAATATGTTACAATAGTGAGACAATTTCGGAAAGGAATCTCTCTTAAAGGAGAAAATAAAAAATAAATCAAGAAGATTTGACAATTAGGAATTCAATCTTCTTGTGAAAGGAAAGGAAAAGAATAATTAAGAA